TATTATGAGCTGAATTGTGCCCCCTCTCAAATTCACATGTTAAAGTCCTAACTCCCAGGTACCTCAAAATGTGACTGTACTTGGACAGAGGGTCTTTGGAGAGGTAATTAAGTTAAAATGAAGTAATGAGGGTGGGCCAGTTCTATCAATCTAACTAGTGTTCTTGTAAAAAGAGATCAGGACACAGACAGGCACCGAGGGAAGACTATGAAGACACAGGAGAAGATGGCCATCTATAAGCCAAAGAAAGAGGCCGCAAAAGAAACTAACACTGCTGACATTTTCATCTTGGATTTCTAGCCTCCAGAACTGTGAAAAAATCAATTTCTGTTGTTTAAGCCACTATGATACTCTGCTATGGCAACCCCAGCAAACAAATATAGTTAGTGTGGCATGTTTACAGGTAAAGGTTTTCTTCTTCCAATTTCTTCTTAAAATATTTTAGATTTAATAACAATGATTCTAGCAACATGATACCCTCTGCTGATGCTCGTTTTCTCTCCTCTCACTTTATGGAGGGTTCTTTTTAACATGGCCTCACAAAGGAAAGGGAGCAAGGATGGAAAATTTTCAGCTTCATGATGCTAAAAAATGCTGTTACCATTCTTTTTTACTTCATGGCAGACCACTCTAAAGGACAGACTGGATAACTGTGAACTCCAGAGAGTCCACTGCCCTCAGCATCTGGCCACACATTCCTGCAATTATAGATAAGAGCTAACCAGCTCATATTCTGAAGAACATCTGTCTACCAGGGAGGGTCCAGCCTGTCCCTAATGCCGAAGTGCCATTTAAACATCAGATCAATAGTTAGCTAAGACTACCCCGAGATTCTGGCATTCTAACTGAAGAAAGAAAGGGTATTTTACGACCTGGGAAAGGAAAAAGCCTCCTGAGGGTGAGAAGAGGAATGGAAGGGCAAGAAATGCTGCCTACTATGCAGCTCTGCCCAGAACTCTCCATGTCCCAGCATTTGGGGACCATTAGTATGGCACACGACAGAAGAGAGGCAGAAACAGGTCACCTGATTTCCTGGACACAGAGCAGTATAAGTAGGCAGAGCCAGGAGGAGGATTGGCAGGGGCAGTTCAACAATATTATGAAGACAAACAAGAACCAGGAAAGCAGAGCAAGACAGGTAGACATATAAAATCAGAGAGATGGAGTCTGGAAGCCAACCCTATGTGGAGATTCCAGTATAGACAGGATTCTCTTTCTTCTCTATTTTTTTCCTTCCACCTTTCACCTAGAGGGGAGAGTGTTGAGAACTAAGTGGAAAATGGTCTAGAGGGATTCACTGAGAGTGTCCTGAGAGTTAGATTGTAATCCTGGAGTTGGGACTCAGGGCAGAGGCTCCAGTCTTAGAGACAGCCTAGCAGGAAAAGGTCAAAGCTCAGATACAGATCAGAGAATAGATGCCCAGAGCTCTTGGGTTTTGGCTCTGAACATGGCAGGAATCTGGTCACCAAACCTGGGATACAAGAGTAAGTGGAGGACCTGCAGGAAGTCCGACTTGTTGCTGGTCACCTGAGTGACGAAATTAGGACTGTTTCTTATTTACCTGGCTTAGCATGTACCGATTAACAGTAGATGCTCAATAAATGTTTTCTGAATGAAAGAACAAATTAAGTAATTAGAAAATAAAATCCACTGAGTAGTGATAGGCTTGGTTTCACAGCCTGGGATTAGGGTAGAGTAAGTAAACACAACTGTGGCATACAGAGGGACAAAGCTGGGGACAGTTATGTCATTAATGTGCCCCAAGTACCACTAGAAACATGTCAGGGCTGCCTGAACTACCAAGGTTGGAGCTGAGATGTCATGTCTAGTTCAGAAAACTTAGCCTTCCTTGGCCTCGGCCGGATAGCTCAGTTGGTTAGAGCATCGTCCCAATATGCCAAGGTTGTGAGTTTGATATATGATTGGGGCACATACAAGAAGCAACCAATAAATGCATTAATAAGTGGAACCACAAATCAGTGTTTCTCTCTCTTTCTCTCTCTCAAATCAATAAATTTTAAAAAAAGAAAACTCAGCCTTCCTCAGATCAATCCTATCTCGACTAAATCCTTCTCAGTCCAATGCCTTCTCTTTGGAAAAAGGAGAAAAGGGAAAATAGAAACAAAGAAATGAGAGAGAGATTTTTCAATACTCGTCTCCCCCCTTAAGCCTCCACCTTTATTTCAGATGGGTACTCAGAAATTCCTTTACTCTTTTTTTTAAAAACATATCTTTATTGATTTCAGAGAGAAGAAAGGAAGGGGAGAGAGAGATAGAAATATCAATGATGAGAGAGTCATTGATCGGCTGCCTAGCCCACAACCAGGGCATGTGCCCCGACTGGGAATCGAACCCCGATCTCTTGGATCCTAGGTTGACGCTCAATCGCTGAACCACGCCTGGCCAGGCAGAAATTCCTTTACTCCTAAGAACCTCAAGAATCTTTTGCTTAGGAATGCTAAGGACTTCTTTTTTACAATTTTAGAGTAGGGAAATGTAGTAAGCAAACAAATACTATGAGACTAAGTAGTAATAATGATTTCCAGCCTAATAAAATCTCAATATCCTAGATGAGGCTAAGAGGAATTCACATATACATATTTGATGGAATCAGCCACCTACAGAAACCTCCTCCAAGAAAGAAGTTGTTTCAGGGTCCCCAAGACTAACCATAGGTACATAGTGGTACTTGTGGCTAACTGATAGTAGCGAGGGGATAGTAGCAAGGGAAAAAAACCACAGGTAAAATCTGAAGAAACTCATACACAGGCTTCCTCATGTTTTCTCCTCCCTGTGAGGGTATACCCTGAACACACTCCAAAGGTTTTCATTGGGGGCTGGTCATACAGGCACTGCCTGCCTGGCAACCATCAAAATTCCAGATTCCCAGAAGGAAAGCAGGTGTTCAACAGAAATCATATTGTTTGTACAAAGGGTCGAGGCATAGTGAACCACCCTTATCAATTAGGGAATGGAGGGAACAGTTTAAGTGCTAAGTTCCCAGATGCCAGGCAGGAGCCAACCTCACAAGCAAGCCCCTCTATAGATAACAGCCTCAGGCTTGTTCTGTGAACTCTTTTCTGAAGAGATTTGTAAATGTTGCCAATGAGACTGAAGTACCTCCCAAATTAAGAAATATTAGGGAGCTGCCAACCTAAAGTTTATATTAATTAGTTGTACTTTGCAGGAAAAAGCAGAGGATAAGATTGGAGAAATGACCTGCCCAGAATTATACCAACATAAGCAAGTGACACGGTTTAAATTCAAGTGGCCCTCTCTCTATAATTCATATTCTTTCCATTCTACTGTACTCCTTTAACTAGAAGTCAGGTTGGCATCAGTCTCCCAAGACCTGCTTGCCCTGCATTTGAATGGTAAATCAAGTTTGAGAGCTACAAAAGCAAGGAAGAAGTAGGTGACTCTGCCAGAGCACCTAAAATGGCATTTGAGCTTGCCCCTCACCAGAACCACAAAACCACTCCCACCTACAGCAGGCAAGTCTCCAGTCACCACTGTTCTTCTCCTGCTGTCAAACAGTCCCTTTCCATCTGCCAGAAAGCCATGTGTGTGTGTGGGGGGGGGAATCCCACCCTTCAACACTAACACCCCATAATGAGTCTCATCACACACCGGTAGGGGAACAAAGCTGGCATTTATTGTTCACCTGCTGTGCCCAGCTCTGTGCAAGATACTTTATGCTTGAGCTCATTTAATCTTCAAGAACCACTTCATTTCACAGATAAGGAAACAGAGGCTCTGAGAGTTGAAGTAACTTGTCCAAGACAATGCACAGTAACAATGCAGGAACCAAACAGGCCTGACCCTAAAATCTGTGTTCTTTCCACCATCCCAGGCACACCCTCGAGTTGCCTTTCACCTTTCTCCCAAGATAAGGATTCCTCTGGCATAAGTTCTTCCTCCTCTGAAGCAATCCTCAGTTCAAGTCTCTGCCCACTGACAGTTCACTCCTGCTTCCCTGCCACCATCCCTTCTTCAAACACAATCTTTTACCCTATCTAACGCCCCCTCTAGTGTCACAGAAAAACAATGCGCAGTAGATTTGGGTTTCAGAAAGCACTCTGATACACTAGTTCATCCGCCCTTCACGACAATCCCGTGAAGCGGACAAAGCAGGTGGAAGCACCCCCATTTTACAAGAAACGTATCTCCTCAAAGTCACGGAATAAAAAGCAGGGAAAGTTGGAAGCAGAGACCCAGATTTTTATCCTGGTCCTCGGCTCTTGCCACTGCTCCTCGCCGCCGCCCCCGCCCCAGCTATGTCACAAGGTATCCCGTCGGCTCGAACCCCGGCCTGTAGTTCACACGTCCCTCTCACGGCCCCCCACCCGCAGCGTCCTCGCCTGTGCTTCCACACGGCCCACTCCCCCACGACCCCCTCCGCCCACAGGCTTCCTCACCCCGCAGGCCACCTCGGCTCAGGAAACCCCTCCCGTCACAGACAGTACGCGACCCTTCTCCACCTCCTGCAGACCCTTGCCCAGCATCCCCGCTTCGGCGCCCCACTCCCCCAGTCCTGTCAGCCCGCGGCCGGGTCGGCCCAGGCTACCTTCTCCAATGATGCAGGTCTCTGCACCGCCAGGGAGCGGGCCAATGACAGGACCGTGTTGAAGTAGAAACCCCGCGAGGCGCCGGAGCCGGAGCCACCGCCACCGCCACCGCCTCCTCGGGCTGCCGCTGCCGCCGCCATCATCGCGCGTACAGCGGCGCTGCCCGCGGGCTTCCCGCACCGGCCCTTGAGCTCCGCAGCTCACTGCGCAGGCGCGGCCGCATCCGGCTTCCCCACCACGTGACCTCTCTGTTGCCGACACTGGGTGCGGCGTTGCCATGGGACGGTCCCACCACTAGAGGGGGGAGAGAAGCCTTGCGATCTGCCGGGTGGCGCGCGCCCGGCGTGGTTTCCCCCCCAAGCCTCTGGGCACTTTGGTCGGCTCCAGACGCGGGGTCACCCACTCACGACGCGCGGAAGAAGCTCGCGCTGCGACCGCGGAGACGACTGGCAGAGCGAGGAGCTGGACGCAGGGTGGCGGCGCAGTGAGGCTGCAGGGTGGTGGGCGCTGCTCGAGGGCTTCGGGAGCGCAGCCGTGACCCCTGCGGACCTGGAAAGGCCGTTCCTCACTTCGGCCGAGCACCTCCTGCGCCTGCCCACCCGGAGCCGAGCGCCGGGACCATGTCGGCCTACCCCAAAAGTTACAACCCTTTCGACGACGACCCGGAGGATGAGGGCGCCCCTCCGACACCGTGGAAGGACGTCCGCGACCTCTCCGACGGGCCCGGCGCGCCGGCGGATCGGCAACAGTACCTGCGGCAGGAGGTGTTGCGCAGGGCCGATGCCGCGGTCGCCAGCACCAGCAGGTCCCTGTCGCTCATGTATGAGTCCGAGAAGATCGGGGTCGCCTCTTCAGAGGTGAGTCTGGAGCAGGGCTGGGCAGGACCGGCCGGTCTGCTTTGTCACAGGGGTCAAGAAGTGTTTTATTCACGATCTTTGGGGACTTCTCTAATTGCCTAAAATAGGTTCTTGTACTTTAGTGACTTGGTGATTTATAATAATTTGTAACTCTGTAAGATGTACATCTTGAGTACTTGAAAGAGGCAGTTTGCCCCCAGGAATCTTACTTAGCCATTAGACTGCTTAGTTGGTTCTTTTCTTCTCCTGGTTCAAAGGTACACTCCATACTCTCCTGTCCAGGTAGGTAAAAATTCTGAACAGCAGAGCCTGGGTTAGGGAAATGGAGGGTCTGTTTCTTTTACATAATTTTTTGGTCAGAAGCCTGGTCCAAGGGCTTCAGCCATTCCTCCCCTGGTGACCCAGAATGAGTGAGGACTGTGTGCCTGCTGGTGTCTGAACCGTGAGAGCAAATGGGCCTTGAGTTTTTTCCCATCAGTGACGACTTCTCCACCTTGCCAGTAGAGATGGTGAGGTCTTGTCTGCCTGGACACCTGCTGAGTAAGCCAGAGCAAGTGGAGAGCCTTATCTTTACTTTTCAAGTCCAAACAAAGATCTAAATAGACGGTGTGTGGCCCATCGTTCCAACTCACCTTTGTCAGTTCTTTCCATATCTATAGATGATTTCAGAGGAGGACCTTATGTGCAGATTATTCTTTCTTTTCTTTTTATAGAGTAGTTTATTGATTTTTAGGGGGAGAGAGAAACATTGATGCAAGATCGGAGCACTCACCCCACCCGGGATCAAGCCTGCAACCCGGACATGTGCCCTGACCCGGAATCAAACTGGCAACCTTTTGGTGCACTGGACCACCCCCACCAACTGAGCCACACTGCCAGGGCAGGATTGTTCTATGTCCGCTAAGAATAATTAATCTTAAGCATATGTAGCTTTGAAAGGTAATGCTGGAAGCTAATATCTTTCTCCATGGGTCTCCCTGTAATTCTTTTCCCTGGCAAAGTTCATTCTGACCTGATCACTTACGGTCTTGGGCAGTTTTGAGGTTTATTGATTAACTTCTCAAGTAGTCCTCCTACATTTCCCCATTGGCCCTTTCTTGGGTGATTTACCTTCCCTACTTTTCCTTGTTAACAGAGCCCTCATTGGCTCAGCTTCCTGTCCTTAGCCTTGTTGAGGAAGTTAAGCTTGTGGTTCTTACATGTCATATCTACTGGATTCCTATTTTTGAGTCTAAATGGAAAGTGTTGACTCGGATTTAGGAAAATTGCTGACGTCTTAGGGCACTGGCGGAGGGGTCATTTGATTGAATGCTCCAGGCCCAAGGAAGCTGAGAACTGTTGAAAGAGATGTTTTTGGAAACAGAATAAATGAAGAGATCAGAATGACACAAGGTCGGTATCATAAGAGGGGATAAACTTGAATCTGGCCTTTTAAGGCTAAGGTTTAGAGCAGAGGAGTGAGGAGGAAGAGGGATGTTCCCAGGGGAAAGAGGGGCAGCGCAAAGGCACTGGCCTGGAACCGGGGCTCCGGGGCTCCGGGGCTCCTGGGCTCCTGGGCTCCTGGGCTCCTGGGCTCCTGGGCTCCTGGGCTCCTGGGCTCCTGGGCAGGGAAGTGATGTACAGGATGAGTACAAGTAAGAGCCTAGAGGAGCCAGCTTAGGAGCTTTTTGTGGTCTAGAGGGAAGATCTGTTCTCATAACTCAGGAGAGCCAAAAACATAGAAGATGTGAGTTGTTTCGTAAGTATTATGTTGATACACCCCATGCTGCCCCCAGAGGTCCTTCTCTCTATATAGTGAGGACTGTGAGAACAGACACAGATTGGCACCTCAGGCCTCTGAGGCTTAGCCTGAGCCAAGCAGGTGTTACTCTGAGAGGTACAATATGATCATGAATGGTCGGTGATAGGCTGTCTCATTAGCATGATTGCATGTCGAATTTTTCTAAGTTCTCAATTATCAGAGGCAGGAATGGTCAGCACCCCTGCGCCACTCTACTTCATGCTCTCCAAACTGTCTTTGAATCTCATCACTGTTTCATTCCCCTTGGAGTGGTGGTGTGACAGGTAAGCTCTTCCTGCCATTCAGTGCACTGGGTAGTTTCCAGCAGACCCGAGTAACGTGCTCAGCTCCCAGCTTAGACGGGTGCCTTCTGGATACCCAGCACTATGAAACAAGCCAAAACAAGACAGATTTTTATAGAGGATAGGAGTTTACAGATAATACTGGGTTGGGAAGGTCATCATTTAGTCCCAATGTGGCAGAAGTAGGAAAATTACTTAGTCAAATCACCTTTAGCGAAGGAGAGCTGCCCTTCTGTGAAACCTGGCCAGGTTTGTTTTTCACACAGAGGTCATGACCACCAGCGGACAGAGGAGTAGGCAGAGCAGAGTGGGTCATACTTGGCTGGCCTGATAAACACATAGAAACCATAGAAAGACTTGTAGACCGCTCAGCTCTTCTCCTATTTCGCAAGTGTGATATATTTATTTTCTTTTCCTAAGGTTTAATTTTTGTGAAGCCATAATCCAGTCACATGGTTTAAATTTAAAAACATACAGAGGGGTATGAAGTTTACTCCTATCCCTCTGCTCCCTCTTACTATCAGTTCCTTAGATGTTTTTATAGAGATATTCTGTGTATACAAGCATACTTACAGTCTTTTGTCTTTTTTTGAATTTTAACTTAAGCAGAAACATTCTATACATTTTAGTCTGCTTAATAGGGTTGGAGTTTATTCCATAGCAATATATGATGTGCTGCTCTTTGTTTTGGTATATTTTTATTGATTTCAGAGAGGACGGGAGAGGAAGAAATAGAAACATCAGTTATGAGAGAGTCATTGATATCTGCTGTCTCCTGCTCACCCTCTGCGGGGGATCGAGCCCACAACCTGGGCATGTGCCCTGACCGGGAATCAAACTGTGACCTCCTGGTTCATAGGTCGATGCTCAACCACTCAGCCACACTGGCTGGGCTGCTCTTTTTTTGTTTTTTTAGACTATGCCATATTCCATTGAATGATATCTTCTGTTTATGTATCCAGTGCCCTAATGATAGGCATTTGAGTCATTTGCACCTCTGGGTGAGCCTCTTTGTGTCCTGCTTGGATGCTGTTTTTGTCCACCCTTTCACCACCCTGGCTGAGGAGCCTGCCCAGGGCACTTCATGTCTTCTCTGGCAGCGAGCTGAGCATGCTCCAGTGACATTTTGTGGGGTCCAGGATCTCGGTTCAGGGGAATCCAGCAACATACTTTAGACCCAGGCCTGAACAGCTGGTGCGGTAACATCAGTGGAAAGGGAGTAGTGTTCAGTGGGATTCAACATGATGCACCCAGCAGCTCTGGCCACAGCTTCCTGCACACTTGTTTTGTGCAGGGGCCACACTTGCCTTCTTGGTGTCTTTCCAACATTCAGTAGTTACTGAAGCCACACTGAACATTTAATTCAGAGAGGTGGACAAGAGGAGAATACTCTCCTAGCCCAGAAACAGAGGCCAACGTGGCCATCTTTTCAGGGTGTCTCCGTAACTTAGGATGGGGTCCCCATTCTCTTGGACACTGTCCTTGGAGCAGAGCCTTCCCCACTCCAAATGAGGGTTTGTACTGACCAGAGCCTCCCCTCCAAGGCAACCTGTGGTGGTTCTGATGTCACCATAGTTCTTAGCACAACCCTGTCCTGACACAAAAGCTGATGGAGGGGTAAGACGTCTGCTAGGTTAAGTAATTCCCCGGTAGGTTTCTAAATATTAGCTATGGGGGAGGAGCAGTCTCTTGCTCAACCATGTACTCCCACACTTCTCAGCACAGGTGCTCCCCAAATAGTTTCCAGGTGAATAAATGACCTGAGGAAGGGAAGGAAAAAGAAAATGGGGGGAGCAGAGGATCAATTGGAAGTTGAAGTGAGATTGATGGGAAGAATGAATTGATCTATATGGCTGTGGATGAAATCTCCCTCCTAATGGCCAGAAAATGCCTCCTTAGGCATTTCAGGCTTTCTACCAGGTGTAAAGGACTCTGACAGAGAAATGTCATTGGACTACATCTTCACTAGTAGGTTTGTTTTGGATTTTTTTTTTTTTTGACTAATTTTTCATGAACTGTCAATGATTGAATTTGACTGGAAAATTTTGGGATCTCAGGTAAACTTGCTCCTTGTGAGGATGAGTTGTTACCATTCCATTAGGTTAGACATCCCACACCAGAGATGTGGCATCTGGCCATATCTGCTGCTCCTTCCTGAAATGTCCACTGGTGGCTGCCATGTTGTCCTGAGGGACTTTGCTGTGCTGACCAGGTTATGTGCTTTGGGAAGCTGAGGGGCTGTATGCTCTCCAGCCTTCCACCTCCAAGTTGGTGGTTCTGAGAGCAGGAGATGCTTTTGGAGATGTTATTTGAGGGTCCCCAAAACCACCCTCAGGTTCAATCATTCCTTAGGACTAACAGCAAAACTATTAAACTTGTAGTTAGGCTTGTTACAGTAAAAGCATACAGATTAAATTGTCAAAGGGAAAAGGCTCATAGGGCAGAGTCCAGGAGAGACCAGGTGTGAACTTCCAGCTGTTCTTTGCCATTGGAGTTATACTGACAACACATACTTCTTTCTCCCAACAATGATGTACAACACACACAGTTATTGCCAGTCAAAGAAGCTCACCCAAACCTGGGGATCGAGAGATTTTATTGGGGGTTAGCCATGTTTACATGGATGCCTACATGGCTTCCTGGCTGCCCGCCTGGCTGGCCTAAGTGTCCTAATACCTCCAAAAGTCAAGCCAAGGCCCTAACCATAAATCACATCGTTTGCATAAACTATCTGGCCTAAGGACTCAGAGGAACAAAGACACTTATCAGGGTAATTCGAGGAAGGGTAAGACGGCACACAAGGCCTTTCTTTGGAATGTGCAGGATGTGGACATTCCAGTTCTGCTGAGATAGTCCTTTACTTGGGCCCTGGGTCTGCCTGCACACATGCTGTGAGGGGCACCAACATCACCACCTTGCCCTTGGTGGGTTTTTTATGCAATTAAGATTCAGTTTATGATTTTGAGTCACTTCATGCTATCACTATGAGACATGCTACAAGACTCAAGTGCTACTGCACTGAGCCCAGATTTGCGCATGTTCCACACATGTTCATGTGCCCCTGCCAATGCCTGTGCATGTGTGTGCTCTTTGGGAGAGGAGCTACATGATGAAGATAAATGTCAAGTTTCTAGATTCATCTTTTTTACTCCCAATTGACATCTGCCTACTTATCATTTGATACCTAAGTTCAGTTACAAGCTCAATATGAGAAACAATATTGACACCTTTCCCTCAGGAACTCGGAGCATGACTTAGGGAAGATGCTGAGATCCATCTGACGTTATGAGATGCCTTGGCTGTGAATTGGGGTTGGAGTCTGGTGGTCACTGCTGCCCTTTGAAGGCAATTGCTCTGCCCCATCACTGAGCCCTGCTGGGTCCTGCCCTGCATCCCCACCTGCTCCGTCATGCTCACCACATACAGTTTCTCTTCCCCTCTCAGTTCCCCCAGCGGGCCCTGCCGCTCTGGGCCTCTGCACTAGCCACTCCCTCTGCCCGAATGCTCTTGCCCCACCCTGACCCTCTGACTGCCTAACTTCTCAGCTTTCAGTTTCTCACCCCATTGGGGAGCCTTCCTCACCTCCGCCCTTAAACCAGTCCCTAGCAGAGCCATCTATCGCGGTGTGTGATGGCTTTCTTTTCTGTCTTCCTCATGAGGCTGTAAGCTCAGTGAAGCAGGGACCCAGCTGCCTTCCTTGGATTCTCAGCACCGCAGCGTTATCAACAAATGAAAAATCAGATTTAACTTCCCTCTTATTGTCTTCTGCTAAACTGTCAGCTCCATCAGGGCAGAGATTTGGGGTATTCACCCCTGAATCCCACGCACCTGGATCAGTGCTTGGCAGAGAGGGGATGCTCGGTAATAGGTGTTGGTGGGTATCTTGCAGCACCTCTGTCATTTTGTGTGTCTTTCAAAGATCACGCTGCCAGCCATGATTCCCTGATGTCTTCACATCCTCACATGGCGCTTGGAATACTCCATCGGGCAGGTGCCACCTTGCATCGGGCAGTGTACACCCTTACAGGTCTTCACCTTTCTGCTTCCTCTTATTCTGTCAGGAATCTCTGTGCTTGACAGAAAGCCACAAACCAAAGAGGAATTGAGACTCTTTCTCTCTGTTGTCCCTCAGCATTGTACTGCCAGCCAACCAGATTTTTTCTTCAGCCATCTTTTCTAGTTTAACTTTAGAAAACTTTTTGGGGCTCAAGGGAGAGGGGGAATCACCTGTAATGCTAACACCTGAGCTAAGAGCTTTGTATCTGTGCCCTTTACACTGAGGGCACTTTGCAGAGCTCACAGCCTCCCCCCGCCCAGTCTCTTAGGTGACCTCCCATTCTCATAGGAACTAATAGAGAAGACATGACGTGACCCCCTTCTGAGGGATGAGAGCATGCCATGGGACAGGAGCGTTTGAGGCCTGCCTCCTAATGGCTGGAGTGCAGGGCCTATCCTTTCTGTCCTGACATTCTTGGTATTTGTTCTGCCAAGTCCTCCTCCTCATTGGTTAGAACTAGGTCACAGGTACAAGGAGTCCTGTCCTTTCCTCTGCCTTGGAGGAGGATTTTAGTAGAAGGTCCTCCTCTGCTGGCCTCCTGACCAGCAGATCACCTCTGGTAAACACCAGCTTCCAGTTCACAGAAACGTCCAGAGCTGCATTCATTTCCTGGCCTTCCAGCCTCACAGCAGGATAAGCCACCCCCACATATTTCTCTGCACTTCTGTCGTAACACCTAAATAAGATGTTTGATTTCCTTACTGAGTCAGCACAGTGACGCAGGCTCAAAGTTTGAAAGACTGTGTCACTTGTAAACAGAAAAAAATAAAATATCACTGTAAATTGAGGAAGGTTTTGTCAGGTGCTTGTTAGTGCTGTGGCTCTCCAAATTGAGGTGGACAGGCCAAGGTGGGAGGGCAAGTAGTTTGTAAAACGAGCTGAACTGTGATGGGAGAGTTCACTATTAGGGAAGCCAAGAACCTGCCTCCTGGTGGGCAGCAGAGCCCTGGCCACCACTCCCACCCCTAGCTGCACTAAGTACCTCTTCAGCTTCAGATTCTTCTATTTTCTGCAACATATGAAATAAGGTGGGTGGGATTGGACCGTTATAAATATATTGACTCAGCCCTGGCCAGGTAGCTCAGTTGGTTAGAGAATCGTCCCAAGGTGGCAAGTTCAATCCCTGGTTGGGGAACATACAAGAATCAACCAGTGAATGCATAAATAAATGGAACAACAAATCAATATTTCTTTCTCTCCTCTCCTTTCCTCTCTCTCTAAAATCAATAAATAAAATTTAAAAAACTACATCACCCCCTAGCTGGTGTGGCTCAGTTGGTTAAACATTGTCCCGTGCACCAAGAGGTTGTCTGTTCAATTCCCATCCAGGGCACATGCTCCTGTTTGGGGCCCAATCCCCAGTAGGGTGCATGCAGGATGCAGCCAGTTGATGTTTCTCTCTCCCTCTTCCTTCCGCTCTCTAAAATCAATAACATTTTTTTAAAAAAGGAGAGAGAGAACATCTCTAAAGATTATTTGCACAGTTACTTTGCTGAGCCTCAGGGAGACACAGGGTTAAAAAAGCGAGAGGGAGGCAGCTGAAGGCAGGGGCTGCATCATGAAGTAAAAGAAAAAAAAACTTGGGAGGTTTGGAAGGGAGGTTTCCGGCTAGAAAGGCATATCACTGGGAAGGGACATGGTTAGAATGGCCTGAGATAGGCGCTGGAACAAGTTTGGCACAAATAAAGGAAAGTGTTAGTGTTTCTTTGGTGATGAATTTACATCCCCAGCCAGAAGCATCAGATCTTGAGGAATAAGATCCAGGTGGTTCTCATGGGCACAGAGCATGATTCAGTAGGCAGATTTGCAGTGAGCAAAGCAGGTCCCTGCCTCATAGAATTTGCATGCTATAAAGGAAACTAAAGCAGGTCAAGGGCTGAGGGTGCAAGGAGGAGTTCTGCTTTAAAGAAAGTGTTCAGGGAAGGCTCTTTGAGGAAGTGGCCTCTGAATGGACACTCAAATTAAATGAGGAATGGAGTCATACAAGTACCTAGATGGGGAGCATTATAGGCAGCAGAAGTAGCATGTGCAAAGGCCCTGTGACGGTCATTCTTGTTACAGGTTTTATTTTATTTTTTTATCTTCCGCCGGAGGGTATTTTTTCCATTGCTTTTCAGAAAGAGTGGGGGGGGAGAGAGAGAAACATGGTTGCCTCCCGCATGAGCCCCAGCCGGGATCGAGCCTGCAGCTGAGGTATGTGCCCTTGGCTGGAATCAAACCTGGGACCCTTCAGTCCGCAGGCCGACGCTCTAACCATTGAGCAAGCCTGCTAGGGCTACCTCCTTCCTTCTTGTAGAGATGCAAATGATCCATAAAATAACCAAAGTTCAGTGAGAAAAAGAACCAGGCCAGAAGGGATCTATAGGCTACATAGTTAGNTGTGAGAGAGACACATCCATTGGTTGCCTCCTGCACATGCCCCGACCAGGCCCAACCAAGGCTAGGGATGGAGCCTGCAGCCAAGTTACATGTGCCCTTAGCAGGAGTCGAACCTGGGACCCTTCAGTCTGCAGGCCAGCGCTCTAACCACTGAGCAAAACCAGCTAGGGCTTGTTACAGGTTTTAAAACTGAAGCTATGGATAAGCTGGAATTAGGCACTAACAGGGCCCAGAAAGGACCCCAAAATTTAGTCCATGAAAGTTTAAAGACAGGACCCAAGCCAGATGACTCCATGGGAACTTCCATATCTAAAAAGAAAGTATAAAACCATAGCCCATGGGGCAGTGCCAGGTCAAAGCCAATAAGGGTTACTGGGGCCAAGGGGAGGGCTAGAGAGGATTTGCAGCCAGTCCAGGCCCTGCATTCTGACCCCCACAAGCACATTTCATCCATCTTAACAATGTCCTAAGAACCAGCGTCATGGGCAGGAGGGGAAAGAGACTGAAGAGCAAATAAGAAAGCAAGCAAGTAGAGGTAGAGCAGGGAGGGGAAGACAAAGGAATGTGTTGTCAGAGAGGATAGCACGCCCCTCACAAATGATGGTTTCTGTCCCCATATGTGCTCACTGAGGGTTTTTGAAGAGCCTGCTGTGTTTGGTCCTATAAAGGAGGGATAATTACAAAAATAATGTCCTCACCTCTGGTTTTCCCAGGAGCTCGTCCGTCAGCGAGGAGTCTTAGAACGCACAGAGAAGATGGTGGACAAAATGGACCAAGATTTGAAGATCAGCCAGAAGCACATTAACAGCATTAAGAGTGTGTTTGGGGGGTTTGTCAATTACTTCAAATCTAAACCAGCAGAGACTCCACCTGAACAGAATGACACCCTCATCCCCCAGCCCAACAGCAGGTGAGTGGGTCTTTAGCCATCTTGATGTGAAGTAGCAGAAAGTGGGGTTTAGTGCAAATGGCCAAAACTCTCAGGCCACTTCTAGTAGTGCCTTAAAGGAATCCAGGAACCTTGTCAGTTTCTCACTTGGAGGGATTCCTCTTCATACAGTGTGGAACAAGAAACATTTCTCCAGCACTCCCGATTACCTTCACTTAATTGACATCTAGTCTGCAAATTCGGCATCAGTTGGGTCTCCAATAAATTACTGCTCCAGTAACTGTCACCCCAGTAATTTGAAAAAGAGAATGTTCACTTCAGAAAGCTTAATCAGTACAAGTGTGACTCACTTCACTGAATTTTTGCTTTGAAAAGTCTTTATAGTGAACTTGTCCATATTTAATCCAAGTTGCCAATTGATTTTCATTTTAAAATACACATAATTTTGCCCTGACTGGTGTGGCTCAGTTGAGCATCATACCATGCACTGAGAGATGGTCAGTTCAATTCCTATTCCAAGTTACTGGCTCAGTCCCCAGTAGGGGGTGTGCAGGAGGCAACCGATTGACGGATCTCTCACCAATGTTTCTCTCTTTCTCCCTCTCCTTTCCTCTCTCTCTCTCAAATCACTAAAAACATATTTTTAAAAAAATACACGTGATTTTGACAGGCATTTTAATGCTACGTGTTTAAAAGATAAAAGAATTAAGTTTCTGCTAAAATAGTACTACTCGTATCTCAGATCAATGTCTGTTTATTATAAAAGCAACATGGCCATGTTACAGAAAATTTGCACCTTAACCTACCATAACACAAAAACTTCAAATTAAGTTTTTCGTCTTCTTCAGTGATTTCATAGTTGTATTGTATCTGTATTCTTTTGGTTTTGTAGCCTGCTTCCCATTTAACCCATAAAAAATGTTTGATGTAATATTATTACACAGGTTCCATAACCATCTCTCTGTGTGTGTCTCTTTTAATTCAGAGGGATTTTGTTGTTTGCTTGTTTTTTGTTTTGTTAATCCTCACCCGAGGATATTTTTTTCCCATTGATTTTTAGAGAGACTGGAAGAGAGGGAGGGAGAGGGAGGGAGAGAGAGAGAAAGAGAAACATCAATGTAAGAGAGACACATTGATCAGTTGCCTCCTGTACATGCCCCGACTGGGTATCGAACCTGCAACCTAGGTATGTGTCCTGACTGGGAATCAGACCCAAAGCCTTTGGTGTACAGGATGACGCTCCAACCAACTGAGCAGCCCAGCCAGGCCCATCTCTAAAGTTTTGTAATACAGGTCTACTAATGAGAAGACTGAAATTCTTAATTGAGCTTCATAGTTAGTGTTCCCTATCATTTAATTAAGTGATTGCCAGTGGACATCTGTAAAGACCATTCTCTGCGTGTGGCCCTACAAAAACAGGTGTTGGGCAGGATTTGGCCTGCAGATCAAAGTTTGCTAAGTCCCAGCCTAAAGTACCCAGTTGGTGGTTTCATATGCTTCTCTTCTACTTGGGGCTAGGATTCTTGTTTTCCTAAGGGAGGGCCACCAAACCAGATGCTTCGCTTCTGAAGTAGATGTCTCGGAAGCTTGTGCATGGCTGGTGGGGCTCCCAAGTGGTGCTGGTGGAATCCCTGCTTTAGTCAGAGGAGGCATTTGATTTCCTCACACAGGCATTACTCGACAAGATTGTACTGTCATAAGTGTTTATCCTTTCTAAAAGTTTCCCTTTTTTCTTTTATCAAAAGGTTGAAAGAAGCTATAAGTACAAGTAAAGAACAGGAGGCACAGTACCAGGCCAGCCACCCAAACCTCAGGAAGCTGAATGACTCAGGTTAGTGGGGACCTGCACGCCCTCCCACATTTGAATTCTATGGGCAGACCTTTGGATTTGGTGTTGGCCCTGAGTGGGTGGTGGGTGGGGGCACACAGGGGCTTCAGCTACTGTCATCCCACATGCTGGATGAGGCGGGTTAGGGACCCAGTGCTGCTCTCAGGGAGCTGGGGGTGTGTATTACTTTGGAGGGTGGAATAACAAAGTGATAGCCTATGACCTATTAAAAATGAGCCTGAGTTCTGGCAGTGAAAAGCCAGCTGCAGGAAAACCCCTGTGGTAAGTAGAATAATGGTCCCCTGAAGATGTCCAATCCTAATCCCAGATCCTCTGTGAATATTTATATGGCAAAAGGAAATATGCTTGCAGGGGGTATTATAGCTGCTAATCAGCTGACCTTAAAGTGGGAAGATTATCCTGGATTGTCCAGTTCGGCCCAGTGTAATCACAAAGGTCCTTTCTAAGTAGAAAGGGGGGCAGAAGAGGGAGTATCATAATGAGAGACTGAAGATGCTGTGCTACTGGCTTTGAAAATGGAGGAAGTGGCCATTACTAAGGAATGCAGATGACCTCTGGAAGCTGGAAAGGCTAGGAACTGGATTTTCCCCAAGAGCCTCCAGAAGGAACAGAACCCTGTTGACACCTTGATGTTAGCCCAGTGAGACCCATGTTGGACTTCTGACCCCCAGAACTGAAGGATAAGTCTGTTTGTTATAGCAGCAGTAGGAGACTAATACAGCCCCCAAGCTTGAGTGGAGGGAGAAGCAGCAGCATAGAAAAGGTGTGGAAGATAGAATGTTTTGTGTGAAATCATCCTGTTAATATCAAATGGCAGGCCCTTTGAGACATCCCTTACCTGAAAAGGAATTTCGGCCTCCTTGGGGCTCCTGTAGACCCCTAGAAAGTCAGGCACATTGGGAGGGCTCCAGAAACCAAATGTTTCCTGTGCACTGGAATCTACCACTGTCATGGTTGACATAGCTAAGGAGATGCCTGAATGGAGAAAGAGCCTGGGGTCAGGAAAGACTAAGATTGACACAGTTCAGTTTGGAAAGGAAAAAACCACAGGACAAAATGAAAGAAAAATAACCCTGGGAAAAAATTGAGCTTTTTATACCCTGGAGAAGTGGAGCAGGAGCCGTACACCTAAAATACATGATTGTAATGAATTAAAGGGAGTTTTTATTTGTGTGGTGTGTATTGAGAAACTCAGAAACAGAAAAGGACACTATGTATAGAATGGCTTTGGTAGGTTGTGCTAGAAGAAATACACTAAGTCTGAAGGGGATATTTCCCCTAAAGATGTAAACTGGAAAACAAACATTGTTTTCTCTGCATTTAGAAACTGGAGTTCAAGGAAGATTTATTTCTAGGCAAATGTGCATAATTTAACATTTCTTTTTTCCTTATTTTGTTTGAAGTGAGAAGACGATATAGAAATAAATTTCAAAAAGAAAAAAGTCGCCCATCATCCCATTTATAAAACAACAATTTTGTTGTTGTTGTTAAACCTCACTGGAGGATATTTTTTCCATTGGTTATTAGCAAGAGTGGGAGAGAGGTGCGGAGAGAGATAGACAGACAGACTGATTGGTTGCCTCCCTCATGAGCCCCTACTGATGGGACCGGAGGTCGAGCCAACGCTCTGACCACTGAGATGCACCAGTCAGGGCAGAATTTTGATTTCTAAACCTTGTCTTTTAGACCTTGTCCATGAGTCTGTGTGGTTGTGCATTCTTGCTGTTCCAGTGCCATATTATTACTTATATGAATCTTTGTCTTCTGAGCTTGTGTGCCAGTATCTGACCAGTCACTCATAGGTTGAAGGTCTTTGATCTCCAAAGGGCTGCACTGAGGAAGCATCTCTCCCTCCCTCACAAGCCTGCCTAGTGCTCCTGCCCCTGCATGTTATCCACTCATCTCTTCGAATGGCCTCTGGTCCAACCACCTTATTCCTTACACCCATTTTCCAGATTGAGATTAATTTGGTGAAGTAGAATTTCTAGAGACATCAGTTGATGATTGGTGTTTCTTTCTAAACTCAGACTCCATCCCTCAAGGGGCCGTTTCTGCTGTGAATACCGAGGCTTACCCGAAGAACCCACACCTTCGAGCCTATCATCAGAAGATCGACAGCAACCTAGGTAAGACTGGAAGCTTCACCAGCCTCCACAGTCCCTTATTTGAGATACTTGTCTTCTAAGTAGCTCGTGCTGAGCCAGTGCAATAGAAGGTATCCAGATTCTCAGGACTAAAACCTGGTGTCTGCCTCTCCCTTATCACATGTCAGATCCAATAGATGTGTGTCCATCTTACCCCTCACTCTTTAGAGTCTGTTTTCTTCCTTTCATTTTCACCTCCCATCTGGGTTGTGACATCAGAATGAACCCAGAGTCCCTGAGGAGCCACACAATGGAGCCTGGGCCCTGCTTTACCTCATTCTTACTACCTGGCATGTGGAGCCCCATTTCCTCCCCTGCAAACCATGCTAAGGAACAGAACCTGCCTTGGAGGACTGGGGTAGGGGTACATCAGTGACACCATCAAGCACATAGGAAACTGCCTGTCCCGGTAAGAGCAGCACTCATCTGGCCCTTTGAGCACATTGGCAGCCAAGTTCCTTACAGTGCAGGTCTCTTGCCTTGGCCTCTAGCCCCTGCTTGCCTCTCCACCTCTCCTGCCCTCACCACTTTGTAGCTCTGAGTTCTTTTCTTGCCAACTGCCCCATCTACCTGGAGTGTCCTTCCTCCCACTCTGCAGGCTTGTTCCTTCTCATGCTGTTAGCATTTCTTTAATGTGGCCGCCTCTTGTCTCTCAGAGCACCCTATTGTTCCCACTATAGTGGTATATCTGATGTCTTCCTGATCAGACTATAGCTTCCCAGGAACACAGGAATATTTCAGTTTGTCTTTACTTTACACCCAGAGCCTAGCAGACAGGCACTCAATGATTATTTTTTTAATGGAGTGGAAGTCAGCTGTTTGAAGTTCAAATGAATTTGTGTGGTGCCAACAGTAGGGGTTGACCAGCGAGCAGCTTTCATGAGTTTATTCTAGGTGGTGTCTCATCAGTGTTGCCTCCTCTGACCTTTGCTCCATGAACAGGAACTGCCTAGGGGAAGTGTAGTTTGTGGGGAAATCCGGGCTAATTCCACTGGGCCTGATTGCAAATTCTGACCCTGCTCCTTAGGTGAGCTCTGGCCTGCCCAGGACCCCTGGGGTGGAAGTGGGGCTCTCATTTAATTTAAACTTGAACTTCAACAATAATGATGTAACCTAGCACAAGGGTCGAACCTTTGTCAAAAGCAGTATACTCCACAGTTACCTGGGGCTCAGCCAGCTGGCCTCTCTGAAGGAACTCAGCATCTTCAGCACTTCATTGCTTTTGACATGGGGACACCGGGCTGCAGGGATCTGTGCACCCAGCTTGTTCAGAGGCCACTGCCTTCTTCCTGACCACAAAGTAAGCAAAGGAAATGGTATCAGGCCAGTTCTGGGAATTGCTAGCTAACTGTTGTACCCCAGAACATTCGCAGCATCCATATGTTCATGGTTCTGGGAAACTGAGTGAATGAATGTAGGGAAATGTGAATTTTCATAACATAGGTAAAGGGACCTCACAGCATTTAGGTCCAGTGGGAACATCTGTAGTTCATGTGTTTTCTGGCAGAGCATCCCAGGTGGCAGGGCAGGGACTTCCCCTGTCTTTCTCCTGCCACTTTGCAGAGTGGACCAGCAGGGTACAGCCTGGTGGATACAGGGGCTCCTGTTGGACAGGGCTTCCAAGGTCTGTCTCTCAGACATGTTTCCAAACAGGGATCCTCATATTTTTCACTCTGGATCTGTGCTTGCTCTAGCTTCAGGAAGCTAGAGATGGAGGGAAGGAAAGCAGTCACTACCCACTGACATGGGGTTTTTGCTCCTGAAGAGCAAGTCTGGCTGTTAACCATTATACCTCTCCCAGATACTCACCATGGGGTCTAGGAAGGGAATTTGTTTCCAGGCCCCTCTGCACTCTTTTCCATGGTTACTAACTGATCTTGCAATTTGCAGCAATTTACTAGTAGGTTCAAAGGCTGCTGAAAATTTGTGTAGACCTATATGCACTTTATAAAACACTGGAAGGACAAACACTACTATATTAACAGTGGTTATCTTAGATAGGTGGTGTGGGGAGGACTGGCTTTTACATTAAAAGCATACTACTTTTGCCCGGCTGGTGTTGCTCAGTGGTTGAGTGTCAACCCATGAACCTGGAGGTCACTGGTTTGATTCCCAATCAGGGCACATGCCCGGGTTGCGGGCTCTATCCTCAGTAGGGGGTGTGCAGGAGGCAGCAGCTGATCAATGTTTCTCTCTCATCAGTGTTTCTATCTCTCTATCCGTCACCCTTCCTCTCTCTCTAAAAATCAATAAAAACATTTTTTTTTAAAAAGAACATATTTTTATTGAGTAAACCTATTTTCTTTTCACTTGCACATATTTTGGAAAATGCACCCAAAGCTCTGATATGTGAGGAAGAGGACTTCCTAATCTAAATGTCACTGAACACCTGGGAAGAACAAGCAGCAGTTCCCAATGCCATTACTGTTTGCTTAGGCCTGCATGTTGTTTCCCTCTCCCACAGATGAGCTGTCCACAGGACTGGGCCGGCTGAAGGACATAGCCCTGGGGATGCAGACAGAAATTGAGGAGCAAGATGACATCATTGACCGCCTCACAAACAAAGTGGACAAGTTAGATGTCAATATAAAAAGCACAGAAAGAAAAGTTCGACAGCTTTAAAGACAGTGAAGAATTTCCCCTCCATTATGATGAAAAGATCTGAAGGATCTTCTTTTAAACTCCCAAGAAATTTCATTTATAATTTTCGTATGTAATTTAACATGTTTGCAAATGTTATAATAGAGTGGGCCTTAAGAGATTTTGTTACGAGGAAGTGTGTATCCCACTTTTTCTAAGAGCCAACACCTCGCTCACTTCTTTGAACTGAATGCTTAGAGTTTTAGTCTGAGCACAATCTCCTCGAATATCTTGGGCCTTTGATTATTACCATGCTGGAATGAGAAGAAAAAATTGCATTTCTCACTTCAGTGAGCATATGGAAAGATGTGGGCAGAATTTCAGTCCCTGTTTGTTGTATATCTCATTCCTAGGCCTTACTGTGAGTCAGAGTGCTAAGGGACCCTGTGAACCATTGTTTGTGCGGGAGGGTCCTTCCTTCCCACACCTTTATTTAGCAGTCATCATCCCTCCCCCATACCAGACACACACGAATGCACGCTGAGCACATAATTCTCTTAACCTCCTGGAAAAGCATCAGTGTGAGGTTCAGAAATGGATTGTGTCAGCCTTTTTTGTTGGGTTTTTGTGTGTGTGTGTGTGGCTTTATTTTTGTTAATCCTCACCCGAGGATGTTTTTTCCATTGATTGTTAGAGAGAGTGGAAGGGAGGAGTGGGGAGAGAGAGAAAAACATGGATGTGAGAGAAACACAGTGATTGGTTATCTCTAGGACACTCCCCAACCAGGGCAGGGATCTAACCTGCAACCCAGGTATGTGCCCTTGACCAGGAAGCAAACCCGGGACCCTTCACTGTGCAGCAATGCTCTAACCACTGAACCACACCAGCCAGGGTGGGATTCTCTGCTGTTTTGTTGACAAATGTCATCTCTTCCCCTCCTGGCCTCCATCCTTGGCGTGCATTTTAGCAGGGATTCAGACCAGCCCTGCCCACTGTGACACCTGGAAGTACGTAGGGAATTGGGTAATCCCTTCTCCATGCACCCTCATCTCTGACTCTGTGTTCCTAATTAAGAGTAGATTCTCCACTAGCTCAAGGCTGTGCTGGCTGACCAACTGGGGGCCCTGTGAAGTTGGTGGGAATGGTGCATTACACAGACGTGGCCAAGCAGTGGTCAATCTACACTGAGCCCTCTACTCCTCTGGGGCTCTCCTGACCCATCCAGGGTTCCCACTCACTCTCGTTGCATGTCTTACAAGGTGACGACTCAGTGCCTGGTTCTCTACCACCCAATTTCAGGACTGGAACTCCACAAATAATGCTAACTTGGTATAGAAGGATTTGGCTAAAAGAGAAAGCCCAGACATCATCATATTTAACTGGCCTGGCTTGTTCTTTCATTTTACAAAAAGAATCACTTAAAAGCATTAATTACAATTGATTTCTACAATTAAATGAGTTTTTTTGTGTTGGTACTTCCAACAAAATAATTGAAGCCACAAAGCCCTTGTCGTCTTTTTTTTTTTTTAATGTTTTTATTGATTTGAGAGAGAGAGGAAGGAAGAGGGAGAGAGAGAGAGAAACATCGATGAGAGAGACATTGATTGGCTGCCTTCTGCACACCTGCCACTGGGGATCGAGCCTGCAACCTGGGCATATGCCCCAACTGGGAATCAAACCGAGATCTCCTGGGTCATAGGTAGATGCTCAGCCCCTGAGCCATGCCTGCTGAGCAGGCCCTTGTCCTTTTAAAAAGCAAAGTAATTAAAATACTTTGAAGATGGTGAAAATGGTCAAAGGGACCGATTTTAATAAGGACAGTTTAGATCAGAAACTTTCAAATAACAGTGCCTTTCACCTTGAAACATGGTACTGGCTAAGTGACCTTCACCAAATCCATTCTATAGCCTATAAACAAAGTCCCTTAAAGCAAAGGAAACTTCTTTAAAGTGCTGCAGCACTTCATCAGTATTTATGTAACAATTTGTTTGGTAAAGGTACATCCCATAATGCATGTCCTTCCTAAGAATACTGACAGCCTCCATCAGTAGATACTTTCTGTCAAGTTGCAGCCACCTCCAGGAATCTGATGCATGTCATTATGGATATCCCAGGACGTGAGGATGCAGTTAAAGGTAATTTAGACATTTATCAGATGAGCTCATGATTATTCTCTTCATGACTGGTAAAAGAGAAATTTTAAACATACCCAGCCCAAACTAAACAAGTTCACAGGGCTTTTAGCAAAAAGGCTGCTAAAACATGAGTCCAGAGTCCAGAGCAGCCAGTATGTACATTTTCACTCATTCTCATTGTTTTTTCCCTTCTCTTAACATCTTCCTCCATGTAATAATTGTTTCTACTTATTATCATCAGGCATGGACTCATGGGGATCAGTCATCATACCTCAGACCTAAGGGTTCTGCCCCCAAAGGCCACCCACTGCCAAACATTCTCTTCAGCAGCCTTCCATCTGCCTAATGGGATTAGGGATTTAACTGACTTGAAGCAAAGTAGCACCTTATTTTATGTACCCTCCCTGTCTTTCTCAGATTGAAGAAGCCAATCACCCCATTTTTTTAACCCAAGCATATGGAAGGAGAGTTGCCCTCACTTTTATAGAAGTTTGTCTTCCTCTGACATATTAGAAGGCCTCATATCTTTCATTTTGTTTTGTTCAGATCCCCTAATTCTAAGGCCTCTGCCGAGGGACTGCCTTTAAGCCATGTGCTGGCCAGCAGCAGCTCTCTGCTGGGTCTTCACCCCTGCTCCCATGCCCACAAAGGACCTGTTGCTGCTTCTACTTTGTAAAGCAAAGTTGTTTGCACTTTCAGAGAACAAAGGGAGGCCTGAGGAGTCTCTAGGATCTTTGCACATGATGGTGGTGATTAAAAAAAATTCTAACCCTCTAGAGACATTCAGAGGTACCCAGGCTGGGGTTGCATGTGGGGTGGGCTTTGGTACTACAGACAAGACCAGTGAACTCATCCTTCTTGCCAGATGGGGCCCATGAAACAGGTTTTTATTTCCACAGTCAAGCTGAAAACAAACTGTGCCTTCAAAAAAGTGGCTTTTCTAACTTTAGGTTGGTTGTGTTAAGTGTGCTACTAAGTTAAAAATAAGTGCATTCTCCTGCAGAGGAAACGATTTCTAACATCTAGTGATTTGTAACTTAGCAGTGGGGTTGTCTTTTTTGCATTCTGTAGGAAAAGAGACCTGAATTTAACTCAGGTGGCAAGAAAAGAACTGCAGAAGTGCATTTTAATCTCTAACTTTTTATGAATGTAATTTTAAGTGTACACTACACCAATTTAGTAAAAACCTTCTACTTTGCCTATAGAGACCTTTCTGCAGAATTGTTAAAGTTAGCAATGTTGTTGAGCATCTTCCGCTCTGGTGGATGAAATGTCTTATGTATAGAATCATGATCTAGTTATTAAAAGTGCTCATGTGAAGGTGGGCTTTTTGTTTAGAGTCTAAATCACAACAGCTCTTATGCTCCATGCTTTCAATTTAACAATGACCATATTCCATAAAATAAAATGCGAAGTTTTTTAATCAACTTCTGTCTCCTACAAAGTCATTTTCAAAGACTTGGTGGAGGGGAATCCTCCTTGTTGAGTAGTCCTACATATGGACTACTGCCAGATTTAGCTCCCTGCCACATTCAGCCTATGAAGAAGCTTCCTTCTTGAACCCTCATCTGTCTCCTGCCTCCCTGCCCCCTCTGCAGAACTGTCTAGATCAGGGCTCAGCAAACTGTAAAGGGCCAGAAAGTAAATGTTTAGGCTCACAGGCCAAAGAGTCTGCCACAACTATTCAATTCCATGATCGTGGCACAAAAGCAGCCAAAGACAACATAGTAAATGTCCATGTTCCAATAAAACTTTATCTATGGACACAAGTTTTAATTTCATGTAATTTTTACATGTCACGATTTTTGGTTTTTTTAACTACTATCAAATGTAAAACCACTTAGTTGACGGGAGGTATAAAACATGGTGGCTGCATTTGGCCCATGGGCCATAGTCATCCCCCGTTTACACTGCCAAGAAGTACTCCTGTTGGGGGCAAGGGGATAAAGAATTGCTGGCCATTCTACTTTGCAAGTGGGTTCCCTATCAGGGCTTCAGGCTTCTCTCCTGGGCAACACTGCAGCCAACCAAGAAAGGGAGAACAGGCTGGGCCTAGCCTTGGCTCCACTCCTGCCTCTGTCTTCAGTCTGACCACACACCTAGGAATTGAATCTAGATACGAAATACCTGAGAAAGCACCTGTAGGCCGGGCTAGGCCATTTTGGAAATTTTATCCATCAGTGGACTAGCTGCCCACGTCCCAAAGGCTACCCTGGTTTTATCTTTGGATAAAAGATACCATCTTTGGGCATCATTACAAATAATGAATGATGAGGGGTCTGAACATGGGCAACGTACTTTTCTGGGAAGTCAAGGGAAAGAACCTTATATAGAAAGAAGTACAAGTGAAAAAATCAGGTAGCTCACATTTGGGAGCTGCAAGTAGAGAAAAGGCTAAAGTTTGGGTAGTGGGTAGGAGATGACATGAGAGGGTAGGCAGGTCCCAATCTGAAAGGCTTGGGGGGTCATGTCAAGGAGTCAGAACATTGACTTCAATGGCAGGCATATATGGATTCTCAGCAAGAGTGACATATTAAGAGTCGGATATGAAAGAATCATAAAAGATGCATCACCACATTATAAGAGCAAAAAAAACCCACTAGAAACAACCTAACTGATTAAGGAAATGATAGAATTAAATGATGGTTCACCCATAGCTGCAACAGACAGTTGTAGCTGTGAAAAGCTTTAAAAGAGCATATAGGATAATGCTAGCAAGATTAAGATTACAGTGGAAAGAATGGACAAAACTGATTATAGAGCATGGTCCAAATTGTGTGGAAAAGCAAACCAATATGTGCATTTCAGGGCAGGGAGAGATCACCCTTTGGTGAGAACAAGCTGGGAACAGGTTAAAGAGAAGACTTTGTAATGGCAGGAACTGAAGAAAGGTCCCATACTAGAGCTGTGACAGGACAGGGAGGAGGGTGGGTGGGTTCCAGAGAGATTAGGTGGGACAGCCTTTAGTGATGGATTTGCCAGTGAAGGTGGGTTGAAGATAATACTCAGGTTTCGGCATGAAGGAACTAGTAGGAGTTTTCTTTTACAAAAACAAGCCCGT